CCTATACATCAAAATATATTCGTGTTTAGATTAGCTTGTTTACATTTCAAATTATCCTGGGGGATGCTGCTTTGCATAGCTCTCGCTAAAAAGAGGCAGGTATGATATTCATCAAAATTCTGTCTCTTTCCTTTAACATTCCTAAAATATCGGCAAACAGAATAGCAATACCAGACAACAGATAATATAGACAAATTTAAATAAATTTTGTGAAGATGGTATACCGCCGACATTCGATCACGGGGAAGTTTCCAGGATGGACAATGCGATCTTTCATGTGCCTGTAATTGACCAATTTAATTCTTCAGGGAAATATTGGACGAAACAAGATGTTGGTAAGGTTCAAATTGAGTTTTTCATTGTCAAGAAATAAGAAATAACGTTTTGCAATTTCGCTTTAATTCATTCGTTTCAGGCATAAATACATTTTCGTCAGTTCTAAGGCTAATGGTTATATTAGTAGCATACAGAAAATCCATGCCCTTTCTCCTTACCCTAGCGGAGCGTGCACGATCTAGATTCTCTCTCTCTCTCTCTCTCTCTCTCTCTCTCTCTCTCTCTCTCTCTCTCTCTCTCTCTCTCTCTCTCTCTCTCTCTCTCTCTCTCTCTCTCTCTCACTCACTCACTCACTCACTCACTCACTCACTCACTCACTCACTCACTCACTCACTCACTCACTCCTCCCTCTCTCCCTCCTCCCCCCTCTTCCCCTTCCCACTTCCTCTCCTTCCCTCCCTCCCCCTCTTCCCCTTCCCACTTGCTCTAACCCTTCCCTCTCCCTTCCATCCCCCACCCCCCTCCCCCACTTCCCCTACCCCTTCCCACCCTCATCCACTCATCCACCCTCCTTCCTTCTCTCCTCTTTCCACAAGACCCCATAGCAGGCTATCTGGAAGACTGGCTCAAGAGGGAAATAGCTGACAACGACCTCTTGAAACACGACTTCCAGCCACATTTAACGGCCATGTCTCTGCGAGCGCCCGTCCGTGTGCTGTGGATGGCGGCCGAAGAGCTTGGGTTGTCGGCGCCCACCAAATATCGCGCCCTTGAGATATTTAATAGGTTAGTGGTTTGTGGTTGATATTGCTGGATACTTATTTATTTGTCTATTTAATTATTTTTATTTGTAGGGTTAGTAAAGGTTGGTTGAGTATCATAGGCCTATGTTTGTATGTTTGTTAGCTTTGGCCGAATTGGGTATTCTTTATAGGCCTATGTATTCTTTTGTTTATTGAATACTTCGAATATATATGATGATTATATAAGACATTTTATTGGTTGAGGTCGATAAGATCCTTTTTATCGTTTTTCGACTAAATAATAATGATAATAATGACAATAATAATAATGATGATAATGATAGTAATGAAGATAATCATAATAGTGATAATAATTGCATTAATTATTAAGGTGATCATAATAATAATAATAGTAATAATGATAATGACAACAATAATGATATTGATAATAATGACAATGGTTATGCTAGTGATGATGATGATAATGATGATAATGATAATAGTGATATTAATAATATTAATAATAATAGTAATAATGATAAGAACAAAAAGGATAATGATAGTGATTTCAATGATGATAGTAATGATAATGATAATGGTAATGAAAATAATGATATTAGTAATGATTATGATAGTAATAATGATAATGATTATAGTAATTATGGTAATGATAATGATAATGGTCATAACAACAATAATGATTATGAAAGTAATAAGCATCATATCAATAATAATAGCGCTGGTAATAATATTGATAAAGATAATGATGATGATACTACTGCTACTACTACTACTACTACTAATAATAATAATGATAATAACAATAATGATAATAAGGATACTAATAAAAACAATAATAATAATGATAGTAAGAATGATAATTAGAAGGAGAAGAAGAGAAAGCGAGAAAAGGAAAATGATAATATTAATGATATTATTGATATTAATGATGACAGTAATAATGTTAGTAATGATTAAAATGAAGAAGGTGGCGACATTGGTAATAGCAGTATTATGATTAGCAGTAATTTATAATATAATGAGGATTAGGATGATGATAATGATAAGTGATAGTGATGATTGTGATACTGATAATAATGAAGATAGTAATGATAATGTTAATTATGACAATAATGATGTTAATAATGATGAGGATGATGATGATGGCAATAGCCGCATTATTATTAGTAGTAAAACCTACATTTTTCCATAGAAGCTAGATTGTTTTGCTAATCTATTCTTTCATAAATTCCCTACCACACAGGCGGAATAAGTCCTAACCCCAATAGCCAAACCCGTGCCTTCAACTGCCTCCATCCTACAGTGTCAATCTCTAACCTCTAGCCTTTACCCTAATCATTAACTCATTTCTACCCTTTTCGCCACAATACTTTATCATAGTGCTATATGATCTTATTTATGCTATCCATTAACAACTGACCATTGGCCATTAACCCTTTCCCCGCCTCCACAGGTTCATCAAGGGGCACGCAGCTACCTTGGCGGGTCACGTGACAAGCACCACAAACCCAGGCCGAGAGAGGAACCGACTCCTGGCGGAGGTAGCTCGGAGGGTGAGGCAGCAGGCACCGCTAAGGGCCTTTACCTGCCTCATGATCGCATCCAAGACTGTTAGCCACAAGAAGGTGAGGGAGAAGGAAAGGGGGAGGGGATGGAGGGAGAGGAAGTGGGAAGGTGGGGAAGGAAAAGAAGGGAGGGAGGGAGAGAAGGGAGAGAGGGGGAAGGAGAGAGAGGAATAGGAGAGGGCAGAGAGGAAGTTGGGAGAGGCAGAAAAGGAGAAGGAAGAGGGAGGGGAAAGGGGCAGACAGGAAGTGGGGAGAGGAAGAAGGATAAGGAGAGGGGAGAGAGGAGTAGAGAGGAGGTGGGGAGAGGAAATGAGAGGGAGAAGGAGATGGGAGAGAGAGAGAGAGGTGTGAAGAGGAGAGAGAGGGAGGGAAATACAAGCAGAGAGAAAGTAAGAGAGGAGGAAGAAGGGGGAAGAAGGGAGAGGGGAGAGGGGTACGACGGAGGAAGAGAGAAAAAGGAGAGGGAGGGGGGAAGAGAGGAGGAAAGGGGGAGGAGGAAGGGAAGAGGAAGAGAGTGGGAAAGAAACGGAGGAAGGAAAAGAGCCAGACAAACAACAGACATCATACAAGCCCACACCACGCCCTGACACCACGGTTCCTCTCCCGCAGGTATTGCGCGCCCAGCAGGTACAGGCGCTCCTGAAGAAGGTGGGTCGCGACTACACCGTCTCGTCCATCATGAGTTCCGAAAGACGCATCTTGGAGCAGATCGAGTTCCGGGTGAGGCGGCCTCTTCCTGCGCATTTGCAGATGTTTGGATTTTTTTTTTCAGTTTTCATCGTCTTTCATTTGCATATTTTTTGGATTTGGATTTTTTTTTTTTTTTTTTACTTTTTATCAGTTTTCATCGTATTTCATCTGCATATTTTTGGATTTAAAAAAAATAGTTTTCATTGTCTTTCATTCGCATATTTTTGGATTTGGATTTTGTTCTTTTTGTCAGTTTTTATCGTCTTTCATTTGCATATTTTTATATTTTTTTATCAGTTTTCATCGTCTTTCATTTGCATATTTTTGGATTTGGATTTGGATTTTTTTTGTCAGTTTTTATCGTCTTTCATTTGCATATATTTGGATTTTTTTTTTAATCAGTTTTCATTGTCTTTCATTTGCATATTTTTGGATTTTTTTCTTCTTGTTTTCTTTGTATTGGTTTTTATCGTCTTTCATTTGCATATTTTTTAATGTTTTTTTTTCTCCTTATTTTCTTTTTATTAGCTTTTATCGTCTTTCATTTGCATATTTTGGATTTTTTTCTTCTTATTTTACTTTTTATCAGTTTTCGTCATCTTTCATTTGCATATTTTTGGATTTTTATTATTTTTTTATTTTATCTTTTTTTTTTACTTTTTTATCAGTTTTTATCGTCTTCCATTTGCATATTTTTGGATTTTAATGGCTTTTATGTTGAAGCAATTTTCATTATCTCTATCAGATATCTTTTGTCTTTTTAGATATTTGTTTGTGTCTTTGTTTATCTGTCTGTTTATGTGTCTGTGTATCTGGATGTCTATCGGTCTATCTATTCATCTTTCTATCTATCTACGTATTTATTTATCTATTCTATTTAAACGCACACGCACACGCACACGCACACAACGCACACGCACACGCACACCACACACACACACACACACACACACACACACACACACACACACACACACACACACACACACACACACATATACATGTGTGTGTGTGTGTGTGTGTGTGTGTATACGTATAGATAGATAAGAGTAGAGATATAGATATGTATAAATCTGTGTACCTTTATGTGTGTGTGAGAGTGAGTGTGTGTGTTTGTATGATTGGCTATTTATAAATTTTATATGTTCTTGCTCGTGCGTGCAATTCTCAAGCGGCCTTCACCCCCCCCCTCTCTCTCTCTCTCCCTATTTTTACCCTGGCTTCCCACAGTGCCTCAGAACCAGCTCGGTCTTGGACTTGGTAGGCCTAATTGTGGCCGTGGTGTTGGTCTCCAAGAGCACGGACGGCAAACATGTTCCATTCAAGTCCGAGCAGCTGTACGAAGCGGCGGCCACGGTGCTCGACTTCGTGTTCCTGAAGCACGAGGAGGTGTATCTGCAGCTTTACGCGTCCGTCACCGATTCGAAAATTATTCCTCGGAAGCACAAGTGGGTTTGCTTTTTTTATGTTTGTTTGCTTTTGTGAGTGTCATTGGTTGACTCTCGTTCTCTCTCTATCTCTTTCTTTCTTTCTCGTTTTCTCTGTCTCTGTCTCTCTCTCTCTCTCTCTCGTCCTCTGTCTCCTCTCTCTCTCTCTCTTCCTCTTCTCGTCTCTCTCTCTCTTTCTCTCTCTCTCTCTCTCTCTCTCTCTCTCTCTCTCTCTCTCTCTCTCTCTCTCTCTCTCTCTCTCTCTCTCTCTCTCTCTCTCTCCTCTCCTCTCTCTCTCTCTCTCTCTCTCTCTCTCTCTCTCTCTCTTTTCTCTCTCTCTCTCTCTCGTCTCTCTCTCTCTCTCTCTCTCTTCTCTCTTCTCTCTCTCTCTCTCTCTCTCTCTCCTCTCTCTCTCTCTCTCTCTCTCTCTCTCTCTCTCTCTCTCTCTCTCCTCTCTCTTCCCTCTCCCTCTCCTCTCTCTCTCTCCTCTCCCTCTCTCTCTCTCTCTTCTCTCCTCTCTCTCATCTCATCTCTCTCTCTCCTCCTCTCTCTCTCTCTTCTCTCTCTCTCTCTCTCTCTCTCTCTCTCTCTCTCCCTCTCTCTCTCTCTCTCCCTCTCCCTCTCCCTCTCCTCTCTCTCTCTCTCCCTCTCTCTCTCTCTCTCTCTCTCTCTCTCTCTCTCTCTCTCTCTCTCTCTCCCTCTCTCTCTCTCCCTCTCCTCTCTCTCTCCTCTCCTCTTTCTCTCTCTCCTCTCTCTCTCTCTCTCTCTCTCTCTTCTCTCTCTCTCTCTCTCTCTCTCTCTCTCTCTCTCTCTCTCTCTCTCTCTCTCTCTCTCTCTCTCTCTCTCTCTCTCTCTCCTCTCTCTCTCTCTCTCTCTCTCTCTCTCTCTCTCTCTCCCTCTCTCCCTCTCTCTCCCTCTCTTTCTCTCCCTCTCCCTCTCCTCTCCTTTCCTTCTACCCCCCCCTCCGTCTTCCTACCAACTTCCCTCCTTTCCTACCCTTCTTCCTTCTCTCTCCCCTTGCCTCCTTTCCTACTTTCTCCTTCTCCATCTCCTCCGTATTTCCTTTCTTTTTCCCTTCCTTCTATCATTTCCTCCCTCTCCCTTTCGCTTTCCCTCTCCCCTTTCTTCTCTCTTCCCCCTCTTCCTTCTCCCCTTTCCTCTTTCTTTCCCTCCCTCTCCCTTTTCTTCTCCTCTTCCATTTTCTTCTCCTTTTCGCTCCCTCTCACCTTTCTTCTCCTCTTCCCTCCCCTTCAACTTTCCCTTCCTTTCCTCTTCCTTCATCCCTTCCCGTTCCCCTTCCCTCCTCTCCCCTTTCTTTTCCTCTTCACTCCCTTCCCTTTCCTCTCCCCCTTCCCCTCTCCCTTACTTCTCCTCTTCCCTTCCCTCCCTCTCCTTTCTTTTCCTTTTCCCTCCCCTTCCCTTCCTCTTCCCTTCCGCTCTCCCCTTCCCCTCCTCTCCCCTTTCTTCTCCTCTTTCCCCCCTTCCCTTCCCCCTCCTCTTCCCTTTCCTCTTCCTCTTCCCTTCCCATTCCCTCCCTCTCCCTTTCTTTTCCTTTTCCCTCCCCCTCCCTTCCTCTCCCCCTTCCGCTCTCCCTTCCTCCTCCCTTTCTTCTCCTCTTTCCTCCACTCTTCCTTTCCTCTTCCTTCTTCCCTTCCCATTCCTCCCCTCCCCTCTCCCCTCTCCTCCTCCCCCTCCCCTCCCTTCCGCCTCTCCCTCCCCCTCCTAACCCGTCCGTCTTATACAATGTATAATGTTAACAGCTTCGGTCAGCACAAATGTCATGGAGAACTTTTGTGTTCTTTCTTATAACAGAATGTTCTCGAACAATGGACAATGTTTTTCGGTTTATTGTGTGTGTGTGTGCGTGTGTGTGTGTGTGTGTGTGTGTGTGTGTGTGTGTGTGGTGTGTGTGTGTGTGTGTGTGTGTGTGTGTGTGTGTGTGTGTGTGTGTTGTGTGTGTTGTGTGTGTGTGTGTGTGTGTGTTGATGCTGGTGATGTTATTAATGATATATGATGATGATATGATTGATGATGATGTTGACGAGTATGATGGTGATAATGATTATAATGATATGTATAATAATGAACATTATGATCACCATTCCTACCATAATGTAACAGTGATCATGAATTAATAATGGCTTCGATCATGGTATAGCCTCATATTACCATTGACCCTCAAAAGTGGGGCGGGGGGGGGGGGGCAGAGGGGACAAGGGTGAAGGACAGAGAGGACAGGGGGGAGGGGGACGAGGGGACGAGGGGGGGTGAAGGGTCGGAAGAGAGTGAACAATTTGACCCTTAACTGTTTCCCCGTTTTTCCTCGTCCCGCGCAGAGCCGCCTTCCTGCCGGTCGTAGAAGACAGGCTCCTCCTGGCGGGATCGGTGGTGGTGAGCGGCGCCTGGCTCGTGGGCGGCGAGGAGCTGGTCGAGTCTGCGGGCGGCCGCATCGCCAGGCACACGGAGACGCCCCTGGAGGACCTCGTCAGCTTGGCCTCGTGCATCCTGTACTTGGCGGGGTGCTCCTCGTGGGGGCGGGGGAGGGGGAGGGAGGGGGGCAGGGGTCCGTCGTCGAGGTCGAGACTTGCTGAGTTGGGGTTAGTTTTTTTTTTTTTTTTTTTGGGGGGGGGGGGGGGGTGGAGGGGAGGGTTATTTGCTTTTCTTTCCCTTTCGCCGTTATTTTAGAATATATGTTTTTTTTATCTTTTTATTTTTATTTATTTATTTATTTATTTATTTGTTGTTTATTTTCTTTTAGGAGGGATTCACTTTTGTCTTTGCTTTGTCTGCCGTGTCCTGTGTTTCTTCTTTTTTTGTTTGTTGACCTACTTACTCTCCTTTCTCATTCATTTCTTGTTTCTGTTTTCTTTCCTTTTTTTAACCTTCTCCTCTCTTTTTCTTCCTCTCTCCTCCTTCTCCTCCTCCTGTTTTTTTCCCTCCTCTCTCCTCTCCTCCTCCTCCCTTTTTTCCTTTCCCTTTCATTTTCCTTCTTCCTTCCTCTCTCATCTTCCTCTTTCGTCTCCCTCTCTTCCTTTTTCGTAACTCCTCCTCTTCCTCCTTCTCCGCCGCCACCTCCTCCTCCTCCTCCTCCTCCTCCTCCTCCTCCTCCTCCTCCTCCTCCTCCTCCCCCTCCTCCCCTTTTTTCCTTTCCCTTCATTTTCCTTCTTCCTCCCTCTCTCATCTTCCTATTTCGTCTCCCTCTCTTCCTTTTTGTAACTCCTCCTCTTCCTTCTTCTCCTCCTCCTCCTCTTTCCACTCCGTCCCCCTCCTCCTCCTCCTCCTC